GGCAGCGGGGAGGGTATAGCTCAGTGGTAGAGTGCATGCCTAGCATGCACAACGTCCTGGATTCAATCCCCAGTACCTCCATCAACAAAATAAGTAAATAAGTAAACCTAATTACCTACCCCAGCAAAAAAATAAAATATAATAGGTAAAAAATGCTCTGAAAAGCAAGTTTCCCTCCTGCCCCTGTTCCCCAGGCTTCCCTTCCCAGAGGCAACCTCTGTCCCAGCTCTCTCATGGGATGGCGTGAGCACACACAGTCTTAGATTGCACAAAGGGTAGCGTGTTCTGTGCGCTGTCCTGCTCTTTCCATTTTTTAACTTCACAGTAAATCTTAGAGATAGTTCCATATCAGTTCTCACAGCACTTCCTCAGTCTCTTCCAAAAGATGCAGGGTATTCGTTGCAGGGCTGGACCCCAGGTTTACAAAGCAGAACCTTTTTGGACATGCAGGTGTTTGCTAGTCTTTGCTGTTGCAGACCCTGCCACGTTGCCTGTCTTTGTAGCCTCTTTATTAATCACACAATCTGTGCGTATTTCTGTAGAGGAAATTCTTGGAAGTGAAATTACTAGGTCAAAGGACGTAAGATTTTAAAATTCTGATAGTTATGGCCAAATGGCACAGATTCCACTCCCCTTGACAAAGCATGAGGGAACCTGTTTACCTGTACACAGGAACCCTGGCCCCGCCTCGGAAACTCTAGGTGTGGGGCCTGGGTATCTTTTCTGTGAGCCTCAGAGAGCACTTCTGAGCCAGAAACTCTCCTGGGGTCCCTCACCAGCCAGCCTCTCCTTCCCCTAGGAATTTGCTGTAATAAGATAGACGTGGCCATTGTCCTCCCGGCCCGACAGGCTTCGGCCTCTCCCTGGCATCCGGGGCTCAGCATTCATGCTGCTGAGCTGAGACTGTCCAGGGCACCGCCAGCACTAGGGCTCACCTGGGTCTGGCTGGCAGATCTTCTGTCCCCTTCAAGGGCCTGAGACTTCTCCTGTAGGTCATGACTAGAAAACAGGGCTTTTCCACTTAAATCCAAGTGCTGCCCTCTGTGAGGGACGGGAGCACAGGCCGTGCCAGGATGACAGCCACCTGGACACCATATGGAAAAGGCCTGGAATAAAACAGGGAAAAATGGAAATGGTTAGGAGTGGTGAGATATTAAGTTAATTTTTTTAATGTGTAGTATTTTTTTTCCAATATTGACCTAAAAGACCAAAAAATAAAACTGGCATTTCTGACTCCGCCCACTAATCTGCCTGTGGCTCTCTGACGTGGCACTAGTGTGTAATTGTTCTCTGTGACACCCTCAGGAGACTGGCAGGGCTGTTCTGTCAGTTCTGGCGGGGGAGTCTAAGGCCAGGAGGGGCCCTCGTGGTGGCTGCAGGCCTGCCCCACCCTCTACCATTCTTGGCGGAGCTCTGAGGACACATGAGGAGATCAGCTGCCTGCTTGTCTGGAGTGGAAGAGTAGATGTCCCGCCACGCTGGGTGGGAGCCTAACCTTTATTCTGCAACGGAGGGTTGAGGTCAGCCCTAACATGGTGGGGGACCTCTTTAGACATGACCCAGGCCAGACACTTAATAAATATTTGAGAGGAAGAAAGAGAGGAAGGGTACCCATGAGGTATAATTTTAAAAACTCTGAGGACTTGGCCCACCAAATCCTCCCTGACGCTCCTTGTGGACCTGACATTCTCACTGTCAGTGATCCTTCCAGCTACACAGATCTGGCCCCTCTACAAAACAGACATCAATCATTTATTCATTCAACAAATATTTATTGAGCATCTACTATGTACCAGGTACAGTTCTAGGTGCTGAGAATATAGCTGTGAACAGAAGAGTAAAAAAAATCAGTCCATTGTGAAGTTTACATCCTGTGGGAAGGACACAGTAAACAAACAGGAATATATTAGATATTTGTATTTATAACACACATTTTTAGTATATACAATGGTGGTAACTGCTAACGAGAATGGTAAAGCAGGGAAGGGAGACAGGAAGTGAGAGGAATGTGTACAAATTTTAGAGGGTCACAGGGAAGGTGACCTTATTGAGAAAGTGATAGTTGAGTAAAGACCTGAAAAAGAAAGGGAGCAAGCCAGGCAGACATGTGGAGGATGAGTGTTCCAAGAAAGAACAGCAAGTGCAAAGGGCCTGAGGTAGGGTCTGTGATTTCCTGTATTCGTTTTCTCTCTTGAGCTGAATCATAAGAACTTGAAGGTAGGAATAATGTTTTATATGTCTTTAGAAATAATTTTGGTTACCTTTCACTGTATACCCTCTTGTACCACTTGAATTTTGTATCCCTTGTAAGTATTACCGATTGATGTGAAAGTCTTTGAATTGAGCTTGTGTCTCAGAAGTGGGCGGACACACATCAGAGAGCTGGACACGTAGTAGGGTTCAGTAATTATTTGCTGTTTGCATTATTTCCTAGTGACACGTTGAAAACATCAGGGTCCTTTTTATTTTTTAAAGATTATTAATCTCGTAGCTTTCCTGAAAGGCTGCTCATTGCCATGCCAGGTTTATTCACTATCATCTAAGGGGCCATTTGTTCCTTTTCAGACCAGCTTTTACTCTGGAATCCCTACCATGGAATGGACCTCAGATTTCCAGTTGTGTGACCGCCCTTTGGAGAGGACCACACTTGTCGCCCTTTTTATGAACTTCCTCCAAACCCTTGAGGGCTCCTCAGCTAAAAGAGAATTTGCAGTGTTTTATATTAAATTTTATTTTTTTTAGGGAAGCACTTCTAAGGTATTCACTTTTGAAGACCCAGGGAGAATATAAACAATTGCACCTGAAGTGTGGAAAATGAAAATGAATTGCATACCAAGAAATAGCTGACAGCGTTTAGTCCTCTTGCTGGCTGCTCGCTGGATGCCTTTCCCCCTTGAGTCCCCCCATTCAGCTGTGGGCCCACAGATGCTCATAGGAGATTACACAACACTCAGCCAGCCCTTCAGAAAACACTTTAGTTTCCTGACTAGCTGAAGGGCATGTTGTACAGCATATCCAGTTTCATTGCCGTAGAAAAATTGTAAGAAAGAAAGGAAAACAATGGTGAGCATTTTTAAATAATCAGTAGTTGAAATATGTGTGTTTTGGGTAGGTTCCCGTTCATTTTTACTGGGCCTAATGAATTTAGGTGATGAGGTCCTTTCTCTGCAGAGCCAAGAGGCAGGAAGCGCCCCCAGCCTAGACAGTGGCCTAGAAAGCCAGCCACAACCGAGGCAAGGTGGGGTGGGGGGCGGCAGGGACTTGGAGGCTGAGGGGGTTTTCTGTTGTGTCTGAAAATGGTACAAAGGTGGTTTGCAGCAGATGGCGAAGTCTGATACCAAGTGAGCATCAGAGAAGTGTTAGAGGGCATTCATTAGGCAGAGAGTGCGAGGCAAATTGAGGTCTCTTTCTATAGACCCAGAAGACAAATTTGGTGGGAAACCACCAGTCCCACCTCTGCTCTGAGGGGCAGCATTTTTAAATGTACACTGTCATATTGCCATTGGGTTGGGTGCCAGGCTCAAAAGAAAGGGAATTCATATTTTTCAGAACGTGTCTTAGAACAAACGTTGAAGGACACCGTGCCTTTGGGCACCATAAGCCCTCCGTGAATGTTTGTGGTTGGAATTCAACATGCATCCAAAACAGGAATTTTAAAATCCAGAGGTGAGGGTATAGTTCAGTGGTAGGGCAGATGCTTAGTATGCATGAAGTCCTGGGTTCAATCCCCAGTATCTCTATTAAAAATAAGTAAGTAAACAAATAAATTACTTAAAAAATCTGCCATCCCCAGCACCACCCCTTCTCTCTGTGTGGTATTTGAGGTGTGCTGTGTATGAGGCCTGCACGGAACAGGCTGCTGAGATTTTTTTCCTTTTCACTCACCCCCTGGCTCCACTACACCTGCTCTAGAGCTTTCTGCAGGCCTCCTGTCACTCCCGGGCCATCTTTTCCACTGGCCTCCCTCCTTCCCCTGGAGCCTGAGCATCCTGGGGCATCATCTCAACCAGTCTGCTGATAAGGGGAGGCTAATTTTCTTTCTCATTCTGTTATGTTGATTAAGAGTTCTAATTTTACAGATAAAACCAATATTACCTGGACCGTGGGCTAAAGGCTAGTTTAGCAAGCCTTGCCTGTTCAGCTGCTCCATCACAAGCCAGATGGTCAGGGCTACCTTCACTGCAGGCGCAGTGCAAGAGGGAATTAAGTCCTCCAAATAACCTAAAGTTGTTAAGTAGAAAATGTCATTGTGACCTTTTTTCCAGTGCTTTTTAAACTCAGGCTTCTTTTTTTTGTTTTTTTGGTTTTTTTTAATTCTTGTTTTAATTAGGCAATAATCACACAGAGCAAAAGTTTAAAAGTTCAAAAGGTGAAAAATCTCCTCCCCACTCCGCTCCCTCAGTTTAGTTCCATCCTCAAAGGCAACCAATATACAAATGTCTTGTGTGTTCTCCACATTCATTTTATATGTGTACAAGCAGATGTGCACACACACACATTCACACATTCCCCTTTCCTTATTTTTTCACACAAAATAGCAGCATTGTATACACATTGGTCTGCACCTTGCTTTTTTTTTTTTCCTTCAATCAGTTAACTGCATATTTTGGAGATCACTGACATCCATTACTGAGATTTATTTCATTGTGGATTCCAAACACACATGAAGCAACCCCTGTTCTGATCATTTCTCTTTTCTTCAGACTCGGCTGTTGATTTTCATCTGTGTCTTTCCCTCGCTGGTGTACAACTTCTGCCTCCTGATGGTTCAGTCACATTCTTTGAGTTGCCTTCTGGATAAAAAATATCTTAATCAGCATAATGCCTTTGCCTGGAGGTTAAGTGAACAGTTTTATGTGGTCAGGGCTCTGCTAGCACATTGGTACCACAGTATAGTTAATTTAAACCACATCTTGAACGAGGTTCCTTAAGGTCATAAAATGGGGGACTCCAAGAAATGATCTGTCCTCTGAGGCCGGCACTTTTTTCTCTTGTTCCAGAAACTAGAATGAACCGAAGCATTCCTGTGGAGGTTGATGAATCAGAACCGTACCCAAGTCAGTTGCTGAAACCAGTCTCAGAGTATTCCCTGGAGGGGCAGTCAGAACCACCTGCTCCAGATATAAGGAACATGGCCCCCAACAGCTCGTCTGCACCCCAAACCTCTCACTATTCCTCAGGAGACTTTTCTCAGGCTCACCTGCCCCTGAAACTTTCAAATCACCAGTGGCCTGTGTCCCAGCAGGTCACCTGCCTGCGCACTAAAGTCCTGGAGGAGAGTGAAGACAGCTTCTGGAGGAGACACCCAGACCCGGGCAAAGATTTTCCTTCAGGGTCCTCTGCAGCCAGTGAGCCTAAGCCTGAGTCTGTGGATGGAGCCCTCCCGCCGGAGCATCAGTTTTCACTTATGGAAAAACATAATCAATGGCTGGGGTCTCAGCTTTCGGCAGCTTCTCCTGACACTGGTCATGACTCAGACAAATCAGACCAAAGTTTACCTAATGCCTCCACAAACCCCCCGGGCGGTAGCCAAGAGACGGTGCAACAGCCCCAGCACCACAGAAACCGAGCAGCCCCAGATCTGCCTACGATAGACACGGGGTACGATTCCCAGCCCCAGGATGTCCTGGGCATCCGGCAGCTGGAGAGACCCCTGCCCCTCACCTCCGTGTGTTACCCCCAGGACCTCCCCAGACCTCTCAGGTCCAGGGAGTTCCATCCGTTTGAACGTCAGAGATACCCAGCGTGTGCACAGATGCTGCCTCCCAACCCTTCCCCGCATGCTCAGTGGAACTATCACTACTATTGTCCTGGAGGTCCCGATCACCAGGTGCCATGTAAGTGAGCTTTACCTCTTCTGGACATTCTGGGCTGGGTTGCTGATTAAACGGGAATCTCTCGTCAATGTCTTGCAGCACTGGACCAGCACGGAAAGGTCAGAAGGCAGGGAGGGCATTCTATTCCCAGGTGGCTTTCCATGTGTGGTTGGATTTGAAAGGGGTTTTAGAAGGATGTTTTATCTTAGCCCAAAGCCTGTCCCGGTGGAACCTACTTCTCTAGGAAACTTGAACTATAACACAGATTCCTGTCTGGGGTAGTTTAAGTGAAACTTGTCTTAGAGGCAGAGAGATGATCCAAATGACTTCTAGAAAATTTATTTGTTTGAATTCATGGGCACCTGGGTTCTTCCTTCTTTACATGCTTCTTCCCCAGCTCAGATTGTCACAGAAAGGGGCTCTCTGTCAAAAAAATCGAAGGTTCCCAGAATGTCATTCAGACTCTGAATTCATGCCATTCCATGAAGATCCAGTTACTCCTGTGATTCTGTTGCTTAAAGCCTTTTGGAGATTGAGCCATTCACATCTACCCTACGATCTTGCCACATCTGTGGACTGGCAGTCTCCCCAACTTGTCAAGCTGTTTCACATCCCCCAGCATTTGTCCAGCATATACTAGACTTTCAGTAATTATTTCTAAATGAATGAATGAATGAATAATATGTATCAGTGCAGTAAGCATCTCTGAAAGTGATGAAGTCTTAGACTGAGATAAAAGGGTCATCACAATTCTTGATGTCATGTCTCCATGAGGCCACTGGGAAATAATGATTGGGCTTTACAGAGGAAACACAGGCTGAGACATGAAATATTTTCCTTAACAAATGAACAGTGTATAAAAAGCAGTTCAAATGGTCTGACCAAGAGTCTGAACAAAATCCTGATCTCTAGCTTTAAAATGTTATAGAAATAATTACAAATGCTATAATCAAACACAAGTTATGTATTTGTACATGTACATTTAGTATAAATCTTCCTAAAGTGAATGGAGCAATAGAGTAATTCATAGTTTAAAAAAAAGAGAGAGATAAAGGAATTTCACTTAGAAGATGATGCTTGGAAGAAACAGGCAAGAATGATTGTGAGTTAGGAGTGAGGCCAGCAGCTGGGGAAGCAGCAGGGCTTGGGGAGAAAGGGACCTACAGCTGGGACTCTGGTGTTGGTGTTAGATGTTGGAAAGTCAGCTGACTGGGAAGCGTGTATGCCACTGATGCTCTGAATGCCCTGTAATAGGATGGGTGTGGTGGTGGAGTTCCTTCAGTATGAGTCACTGAGAACTGAACTTTGGCAACGTCAGGATTTGCATTGTTTTTCTCAATGATTTCCAGGTTAAAGGGAATAATTTTGTGGGAATAATACCACAAACTACTTTTTAACATTCTACTTTCTGCATTTAAAGATAATTTTTCTGATCATAACAGTAATAATTGTTCAGTCTCAAAATTGAAATATACCCAAGAGTCCAACTCATGTTTCTGTCACCCAAATATCATTCCTTATTGGGGTTTGACATATTTAGTGGGTTTTTTCCTTCAAAATTTAAAATTTTTCCAATGGTATCCAGTGTACTTCTTCCAGCATTGTTTAAAAATGCTGCACATTATTTCATCAGAGGGATCCACCAAATTGTTTTCTTCTCTGTTGTTGGGCATTTTAAATAGCTTCCAATTTCTGGTCCAATAAGCAATGGTATGACAAACATCATGTACATAAGTTTTTACCTGCATTTCTGATTAATTCCTTAGGTTAATGTGTAGAAATATGAATACTTAGTCAAGGGCTCTGTGATAAAGTTGCCTTTATCCACCAACAGGAAAAGCCTCATCATGACAGACAGAGAAAGCATTGACTCATTATAATTTGAGGGTCCCAGGAAGATCTTCCCACTTGAAAATATTTTTCCTGTTGAACCCTGAAATGGCACCACTAGCAATCTAGTCTTTGGGGGTAAGCCTGCTCTGGGCAGGCTCTGTTACAATGCAAACACTCCCGCTGGGAACACTTTTAGTCTCCAACACCTGCTCTCTTTCATCAGATCCCCTCCCCTTGCTCTCTATATTATTTCCTTCTATTGAAGTGGGAGAGGAAGGGGAGAACCACGATCCTGGGAGTGAAGCCAGGTGATGAAAGGCAGAAAGGAGAGAACTTGGCCAGAAGGGATAATTCACAGAAGATATATAAACAGCCCGTAAGCACATGATACCAAGCTTAACATTCCTGAATTTAACAAATGCAAAATTTTTAAAGATACATTTTTTCTAATTAGGTGTGCAAAAATAAAAAAAATCTCAGGCAACATCTGGTGTCAGTGGGGTTAATGGGGAAATGAATACTCCCATCTACTCTTTTTTTAAATTGAAGTATAGTTGATCTACAATATTGTGTTAGTTTCTGGTATACAGGAAAGTGATTCAGTTATACATATATATGTATCTATATACTCCTTTTCATATTCTTTTTCATTATAGGTAATTATAATATATTGAATATAGTTCCCTGTGTTATACAGTAGGAGCTTGTTGTTTATCTATTTAATATAGTTTGTATCTGCTCCATCTACTCTTTTTTTTAGATTTTGTTTGTTTGTTTGTTTTGCTTTTTTTTTTTTGTAGGGGAGGAAGTAATTAGGTTTATTTATTTACTTACTTAATGGAGGTACTGGGATTTGAACCCAGGACCTCCTGCATGCTAAGCATGTACCCTGCCACTGAGCTACACCCTCCCCACCTTCTCCATCTACTCTTGATAGAAGTATAATTTGGTACAATCTTCTAGGAGGCAATTTCAGTATCAATTTCAATGTGTCCTCTTTGGCCCAGCAGTCTGACTTGTAGGAATCTATCTATACACACATTAAACAAACATAGAAAAATATATGATTAAGGATGTTTATTAAAGCATTGTTGTATTAGATAAGAATAAAAACACTAAAATGCCTATCATAGGGGGAAGATTATTGTAAATAATTATAAATTATTAAATTATATATAATTATTAAATTATAAAAATATAAATTATTATAAATAATTTGTGATTTATTTATACAATGGACTTCTAGGCCCCTGTTATGTAGAATAAAATACACATCCTGACATAAAAAAGATTAAGGTAGAAGCATGTAGTGTTGATCCCATGCATGTTTAAAAACTCCATTAAACAGGTCTAGATGGGTCACCCCAACCATTAATAGTGACCATGGAGGGAGGACAGAGAATTAGGAAGAGACAGGGAGATTTTTCTTCTAACTTTTTATACTTTTGTTAAATTTATTATAGCAAACAGGCATCACATTTATAATTTAAAAAATAAGGAAAAGATAAAAAGAAAAAAGAAAAGTAAGGGGAAATGAGAGTGTACAGGTGGGCTCACCCTAATCCATCCCGCACAGGCTTTGGCCCTGGCTCCCTGGGGCATCTAATCACAGGGAAGAGGGTCAAGGCCAGGTGATTTTTGTCAGGGAAGCCCATGGCTTACGGTTTTTCTTCAGGGCACTGCAAACCCAGAATATTTATGAGGCCTCCAACAGCAGTGTCTCCCAGGAAGGTGGCTGTGAGGATTAAATGAGATAATATATTAAAGACACTAGGAAGGTGGCTGGCTTGTACTAAGTCCTCAATAACTAGCAGCCCTTAGTTATTATTATTATTTAAAGGGCTCCTGCAGCCCAGCCCCATAGAGTGCCCCTCTACATCCAGATTCCTTTTGCTGGCAAAGAGTTTAAGCATTCAAAGCAGGTGTACAAATGCTTAGTCTCATGTTAGGGTTATAACTGCACTTAATTGCAACAAAACCACTTCAAAAGTGCTGTTCACCTCAGCAATGTTTGTGCAGTTGGAAACCACGGCTACGTGGTTCTACTTGGTTTTAGAAGAGCATTACTACCTCATCCGTTAATGAAAATATAAATAAATAATGATTGCCATGCAAATGCCATCCCTTAGCCTTTGCAAGTTAAAGCAAAAAAATGGTTACTGGTCACATTTTTCATGTTAAAAAAATTTTTTTTCCAAACAGGTGAAAACAAAAAGTAGGAAAGCCTGTTTTTTCCTCTCCCAACCCCCAGTCTCATACTGCCTCAGAATCCTTCCCACTGAAGGTCATCAGAAAGGAGATCATGGCTGTGCCATCAAATAAAAACCCAAGATGCAAATAAATTGGAAAAACAGAACGTATTAAATCGGAAGTGCCCATAGTTTACTGTAAAATTCTTGCTTTCTCTAGCAAGGAGACTGAATAAAATAAGCCTGTAGGCACAGGCCTACTATTGCTCATACGGACCCCAAAAGTGACAATTTGTATGCTAGAATGCATGTACAATTCAAAGTAAGGAAAAAACAAGCCAGATGGAAGAGATGATAAAGAAAGGAGTTGCCTCTCGGGAGCTACAGCTGGTTACAGCTGTGGGACTTCCTGTAACAGTTCATGTTGGCCATTTTGTTTTCCTGGCTAGAGTAGTTGTGTTGTATCATCATGTTCTTTTGACAACTTGAAAATCAGATTTTATTTTCTGTCTCATAAATTCTTTTAATACCATTCTTAATAAGGAAGAAAAATGTTGAATGTTTTGACAGATAAGTGGAAAACCTCATTTAGGATTTGGTGTACAAATTCCAAGTGGTCAAAGCCCAGTAACGTGAAGATCATTTGTACCCAGGCCAAGAGGATCATAAGATTGACAAGTAACATACAGTTCTGGGCACCCATTTATGATTGTGCAAGATTCATATTTTTGTTTTGTGATTAACACTGCCTTGGAATTGAGCAGTTACTGTGCTAACAAATCATTGGTCTATCACATCCCCCACCACCTTCTATTCTCCATCTCCTGCAGAATACATCCTGCTGATGGAATTTCAGGCACCGAAAACAAGTCACTGGGGGAGATATTTTGGGGCAATGATTCTGAAGTCTACCATGTAGGTGGCTGCTGACTTGCACGCCTCTCCTACTCACATACTAACGAGTGTAGGTTTGTGTTTCAAAACAGACATCCACAGACACACAAATTTCCTCTCTCTCCGTTTATTTTGAGCTACTCAAGAGAGCTATATTTTATTTATCTTTATTCCTTGAGTGCCTAGCAATAGAAGTTCAATAAATTTTTGTTGAATGAATAAAAAGAAATCTGTTCCCTGCTTCCTGCAAAAAGGAGTGTTCCCTAATCATGAGTAGAGCTTTTGTGATATCAAGCCTTGGAAAGACCCTCTTTATTTGTCTTCTGGGAGGGCAGAGGAAAGGAAGGAGGTCAATGGGATTTGGAAACAGACCTTGTCCATTCATTTATCAGTTTATTCCACAAATATTTGCTCAGTTCTGTGCTAGGCACTGGATGTACAGTAATGAATACAATACACATATTCCTGTCTTTGTGGGGTTCATAGTCTACTGGAGATAAGCCTACAGATAAACAGAAATCAGCAAACAAAATAACAAAGTAGAAGTGTTCTGAAGGAAATAACCAGGTGTTAGAACTGATATTAATAGACAGGATGACCAGAGGAGGCCTCTTTGAGGACACGTTTGAGCTGAAATCTAAAGGATGAGAAGGTCCAGGAAGCAAGGAGTTTTGCATAGCTAAGGTACCCAAAGCAAGTGAGTGGGGCTGGAACAGGGTGAGTGGGGAGAGAATGATATGCTAGAAGATAAAGGAGGGAAGGGCCATGGTAAGGAATTTGGATTTTTTTGTAAGTTAAACTTCTTTAGGGAAACAGAAAATTGAACTCTATAATCCTGAATAAGGAACTTAGAACACTGCTGGGCATGTAACAAGTACTTAATCAATGTTAGCCATTATTTTATATATATAGTCCCTGTCCAACCTTGCAAGCTCTGGTCAAAATAGTGGAACAAAACCCTCAAAACTTGAGCAATGAAAAGATACTCATTTGCCTGACAAACATGGTTTTTATTTCACAACTTTTCCACGCAACCAGCCAAATTCCAGACAAAACCCAGTCAAGTTCACTTACAGAAGGGAAACCTTAGTTTTGATTGACCCTCTAATGTTCAATATTCTTTGTTTTAAACAATCAAAGGACAGCATAGAGAACTATATTGTCAGTACCTTAATTTTAAAAATACATGAGGTGGATTGTTTTCATCTGCTCACAGAAACCAGTGTAAGTTTTTATCACAGGTGGCCGTTTCAGAAATGAAAGTTACAGCTAATCAAACACTTAGCCCACATGCCTTAGTGATTTTAATGATATGATTTGTTGCCATGAGACAAAAACATGTTGTGTGAGAAATAATCTGTTGGGAATCATATGACCTTGATTCAAAGGCTTTTGATTAACAGCACTAACATCCACTTTCTAGAAAAGAAACAAACCCTATGGTTAGAGCTTGGTAGTTCTTCTAAAGCAAATAAAACATTATTAGCCACTTATTAATGGATATGGGAAGCAAGAATGACTCCAAGCATTAAAAACTTTCAAGCCACTGGCAAAGTTGCTCCTCTTTTACCTTGTCTTTCTTCTTCCTGCTTCCAGAGGAGACACTGAAATGGACAACAGATGAGAAGCAGGTAGCCTAGAAGAGCCAAGACCTAGCAAGCAGATGGTGCAGTTCTACATGGCTTCTCGTGTGTGTGTGTGTGTGTGTGTGTGTGTGTGAGTGAAGTTGGCTTTGTAACTATTCATTCATTTATTGAGCATCCCCTGGATGTTGGCACTGTGCTTGGAGATGTGGTGGAGAACAGGCACAGTTCGTGTTTGCACAGAGCTTAGATTCTGGTATGGAAGGCAGGCAAGAAGTTGACAAGTAAGAGTCATGCTTACTTACACAAACATGATAAGCACTAGAAAGAAAATAAAATAAAGAGATGGGATAAGGCAACTGGTGAACCTCTTTGAGTAAGTGATATCTGAGCTGAGCCCTGAATGCCAAGAAGTTGACTTGTAAAGATAAAGGGCAAAAACATTCTGGATAGAGAGGATGGCAGACTCAGGGTCCCAGAGTTTGGGGTGTTAAAGACAAAGAAAGACAGACAGGGTGGATGGGGCTTGGTGAGCTTGTGAGAGTGTCATAGGAGATGAAATCAGTAAGAGCAGGGAACCTGATGGTGCAAGGTGGATTTTAAATGCAATGGGAAATCTCTGGAGGGTTGTTATCTACAGCTGTGTTTGCAAATGGTCCACTTATACAAGACTCACCTACAAGACTCACAGCTGGCCCCTGCCTGGTGACCTGATGACAGTGGCACTTTTTACCCTGTTCTAGCTGGGGAAAAGAGCAGCAGAAGAGACCAGTCCTGGAGCCCTGAAACTCCATCTGGTGAGCTGGACCCCTTGGAATGTATCTGACCTGACCCAGGAAGACTGTAAACATAAAACCTGTGTGATATGTGTTGTTCTAGATCATAGTGGTCTCTGTGGTTGTGTCCCCACTCTCAGTGATGCCCTGCAAGTCCTGGTCTTTATTAGCCAGGGGCCTGAGATAGGCCCAGGCAGATCTTTTTATCCTCCTCCCCTTCCTTAAGCCCCTAATATCCTGACCAGGCCTAAGCAATAGAAGGGCAAGGGTCATGGTCAGGACCAGGAGACAACCTGGATTAGGGAGGTGTGGTCACTTTTGCCAGAGGAGGCATGGCAGGAAGGACTCAGCTAGTGTCATGGGTCAAAGCAGACAATAAATTGAACCCAGTGAATCTGACCATGGTCGGGAGACCGGCTTGGGCACATTTTCAGGGTCACTCAGCCAAGTTTCCCGAGTCCGGACAGTGGGGACCTGGAGGTGGCCACACTAGTCAGCACACATATTATTTGTCTTCTGTTCTGTCCTTGAGGCCACATTCCCCTAAATGTTCCTCTGGAAACTTCAGTGGTTCCTGACTACTTCCCAAACTAAGGGTAAAATTCTTATCCACATTCTCACCCTCCACATCTTGGTTCCAACCTGCTTTATCTGTTACTTTCTTGCTCGCTGGCTGGTTCCATTTCACTTTACATCCCTGCGTGTACCCTACTACACAGCAGGCAGGCTTGATTATTACTGTTACAGAAAAAGAATAAAGACCAATAAAGATTTTGTTAAACAATAGGGGCCCGTCTTGCCCTAACCAGCTATGCCTCCTGGATCATCCAAGTTCTTGGGCAGGGTGGCAATGCTCAGATCACCAGGAGATACTCATAGCTCATTTTGCGGGTTCTCACCTGGCTCTCTCCAGCCCCTCTATAGGCTGGGCCCACCCGTAAGGTGCAACCAACCTCTCATTTTTCCCACACTTGAGCCCCCTTGAGCTGGACAATTCCCTCAGAGCCTTCCTCTTCCACCCTTCCTGGGTTCCCCATATCCCTCCTCTGGCCTCCACTTCTCTTCTCTCACCCGTCAGGCAGGTTGCCCTTCCTCCCTTGGGACCCTGCTGCTCCTGGGCCTGGCTAGGACCAACTTTCTCCTAGGTTGCTATTTCTTATAAGTCACTGCCAGGCCTGGCTTTGCTGTGAGACTTGCCCTCATCTAACTGTTTCGGCCCCCAAGTGCACGTAGCTTTTACCAAGAGATGACAAAGAAAGTTGGGGGGTGTTGCCAACTGATTGGCTACTTCCCAGAGATATGAGCCAAGTTTTCATTCATTACTTCTTCCTAAGAGGCAGTGGAATGTGTGTGTGTGTATGTGTATTCACTGAAGGAGAGAGTAGCGATTCTGTAATTAACATGAGAAAATTTCTCCTAGCCTTGGAGTCTAAAAACTTGGGGAATTATGGTAGAAATAGTGGTGATCTGGACCCCTTGGAATGTATCTGACCTGCCCCTAGGAAGTCTGTAAAAGCAAAGCCTGTGAGATATATCTTGTCCTAGACCCTAGGGGTCTCTGTGGTCCTGTCTCCCAGTTCTTAGAGGTGCCCTCCAATTCCTGGTCTTTATAAACCAGGGGGCTGGGATAGGCTCAGTTTGGATTATTCTAAGCATCTTATTTAAATAACGACCTATGTGGAATTTTGTGCTTTCCAATTAGAACACCAAATTCCTGATTTCACAGATGGTTTTTCACAGATGTTTTTATTTAGGAAAAAAAAAGAAAAGAAAAGCAATGACTCAATTTAATGAAAACTATCAAGTAAATAATAGTACAGAAATATGGCAAATATCATGAAGGTGGTAAATGATATCTGGAACCCTCAGTTGGTATCAAGACAAAAATTTGCACAGAGCTTACCGCTCCTTTCACACAAAGCAGCTAGAGTCAGTCTTCCCTGTTTTCTTTGCCGTCTTCACCCACAGATGGCCACAACTACCCTCGAGCAGCCTACCAGCAGGTAATCCAGCCAGCTGTACCTGGGCAGGCTCCACCTGGAGCCAGCATGAGAGGCCTGCACCCTGTGCAGAAGGTCATCCTG